TAGGTTAAGCTGGTGTGCAGCGTAGCGTAGGGCGAACGGCCACAGAAAATGGGGTGCACCGGCATGAATCATGGAGGTGCGAGCCACCTCCATGACCAAACCGATGCGTCGCTCAGCGACACCATTGTGTTGTGGGGAGTTCGGCAGGGTGAACGTCTGGGTGATGCCCTCCGCACAACAGAACCGACCAAGGACACCGGAGGCAAACTCGTCACCACGGTCGGAGTGAAGACGCAAGACAGGGAGACTTCGGTGAACACGCGCAGCAACAAGCTAGGGGATGAGAGCGTTAGGCACGTCGGCCTTCCGCTTCAGAGGAAAGACAGTGGTATAGCGTGTGAAGTCGTCGACAAGCACTAGGAAGTAGCGCTCTCGACGCGGCCCATGGACGGGGGCGGGGCCCCAGACGTCCATGTACAGGGTCTGCAGCGATGCGGCGGTAGGGGGAAACGAGGAGGAGTGAGGGGCACGGCGAAGCGGACCCTCGACACAATGCGTGCACAGTGGGGCGGGGGAGGAGGGAAACTCGGGGAACGAACCGGGGAGACCAAGGACGAGACCGTGCTGGGTAATGTGACGCAGACGCAGGAGTGCAGGGTGACCTAGGCGGTGGTGCCACAGGAGAGTCGGGTGAGGGACCGACAGGAGCAGGCAGCAGCAACCTGGGTAGACGCAGCCACCTGAGGGGGGGCACCAGCCGGGGGGGTCACGGTGTCCAGTGTGAACAGGCTGGACACTAGGTCCCAGGGGAACGTGGTAAGGGGGGCACCAGTGGCGGCCTCGGTACAGACAGCATACCGCTCGTGACCAGGGAACGTAGTGGTGACGCCAAGGTCCTGGAGGCAGCCGACACCAACTAGGTTCCTGGAGAACGAGGGGATATGCAGACCTGTGAGAGAGCCCGAAGGAACCGTCGGACAGGGAAGGGTGGTGGAACTGCGGGCGACTACCGGACCGCCGGAGGGGTCAGCAAGTGAAACTGCAGGAGGAACAGGAAGCGGCGTCAGCGTAGTGGAGTCGCGGAAGAAACACCGGGAAGCGCCAGAGTCCAAGGTGAAGGAAAGCACAGCGTCTGGCGGCGGAGCAGCGGCAGAAGCACCGAAGCTAAACAAAGCAGGAGATCCTATGCCTGACGCAGCAGGGGAGTCTAAGCTACGCACAGCTACACTAGGCGACAAGGGGTAATAAGAGGGAAGCACACTAGAGTCATCAGCATACATCACATGCAGGGCAGCAACAATGTCATCCATGTCCATGTCAAAAATCTGAACTCTAAGACTAAGCAAGCTGTGCCTGTCCAGGAGGTTGGGCGACGGGCCGAAGTGCTGACGAAACAGGTCGTCCAGGCGACGAAAACAGCAGGCAGTGGTGTGATCGATCTTACCGCAAACGAAGCCGCGGCGAGGACCGGTCTGCAGCTGGTACTGACAGCGCACGCCTCCCGCACCGCCACCCGGCACACCACCACGCGCACGACCACCACCAGCGTCAGGCCACCCGGGCGGGAGACCACTCGCCCGCCTCGTCTGCTGCGGCTGCTGCGGCTGCTGGGGCGGCTGCTCGGCTGCACCTGGCAGGGTCCCCTCGTCTGCGCCACCACCAGGCGACCCGACTCCACCACCACCTCCTCCTGCACCCCCACCCCCTCCGCCGCGCCCAGCCTTGGGGCGGCGGCCCTTCCCCGGACGGAACTGCGCTGCAGCGGCGGTCTCAGCCACAGCAGCAGAACCATCAGAGAAGGTGCACTGAGCGGGGGCACAACCCTGAAAGATAGGGACCGGCACAGTACCGCTCGCCTGGGCGATAGAGCGGTGGCGGGTCTCTATAGCGGTCAGGGTGTCTACAAAGTCAGTGAGGGTGAGGTCAACAAGGTGGACGCTAAGGAAGCAGTCACGAGCAGTGGCAAGGCAGTCAGGTAGGCGGGTGGCAAGCAGGTAGAGGGTAGAGGCAAGGGGTGGCTGGTGGACTCTAAGCTGTGCGTCAGTGCAGGCAGCGCGCCAGGTCTCTTCTATCGTATGCAGGTGAGCAGCCAGGTGAGCGACCGTGGGGAAAGACGCAAGGTCAGGGAAGAGGAGAGGGAGGACCAGTGCGGTGTAGTGTGGTACAGTGCGGTGTAGTGCGGTACAGTGCGGTGCATCGCGGTACAGTGCGGTGCATCGCGGTGCAGTGCGATGCAGTGCGGTGCCATGTGATGCAGAACCGTACCAGGGAAGGTGTAGGGCGGTGGCGGGCACGAAAAGCGGGCCGCACACAAGTCGGCGGCAGAAACGGGCCGGCAAGGAACGAGCGCCTGTGGCCGGCGTAATCGGGGGCGCGGGGCCGGCTGGGACGTGCGCGAGGGTCGGCTAGGACGGGCGCGGGAGCTTGCTAGGACGGGCGCGGGGGCAAGTAGGACGGGCGCGAGGCCGGCTAGGACGGGCGCGGGGGCTGGTAGGACGGGCGCGGGGGCCGGCTAGGACAACGGGGCGCCTAAGGGGGGGGGGACGGGCGGCTAGGTCCAAGAGCGGAAGCGTGGGCAGGCGGCAGGACCTACCTACTGCTGATACCATCTCAAAACTGAATGAATGACTAGAGAACCTGTGTACAAGGAAATATATCTAAGGGTTGTACCCTCTAAGAGGTGACCCTATACAGTCTATACAAACATTACAGAATACACATGTTTGACAATTCAGACAGGGTTCATCGATCAATCAATCGCTTTCGCAAAGTGCACTTCTGCAATATAATCCTGAAGATCCTACAGGCTATTTTCGGATCGCTTCATATAGGCCATCTCTCTGCTTGTTGCGTGATTGGCGCACATGCCTGCTACTTAACAAGCCCTGTTAGCTCAGTGGTTAGTGACTGGCAAAATTCACCATCCTACAAATCAAGACCCGAATGATCGAATGGTCGAGCAAACCTAAAACGCGACGTCGACATTTGAGGCGCGTTTACACGGGAATACTAAGCGTCCAAAGTCGCAGCTGAGGATGACGCAAGGCTACCAGAGCTGGCGTTTCAAAAAAAGGCACTCTGATTTTACCCCCAAAAAAATTCCGCAAGTCTGAAGGACCATTTTCCAAAATTTGCCTACTCTGAAATCTCGGTATCCAAAAGTTGACTAGTCTGAAATACCCAGGGTTCAAAATGTCGAATCAGAGTCGACGCGTCTAAGTTGACGGAAAAATAAGGGCTGTAAATGATTACGTAGATTGACGGAGTCTTTACACACACACGTTGCCCCTTATCTAATGTGGCTCTGGGTGGGAACCCGACACCTGTTCAATCCCCCAAGTTCAAGTTCCCCCACAAAGTTCTCCACTTCCGAGTGTGCAAGTATGATGACGTGCAAAACTTCGTGGGGGCTGATTCATTTCCCCCCCAAATTTCATAAATTCGTTGGATATTAACGCAAATATTCCGAAGCACTCGCGTTCTGCAAATGCCTAGGCCGAGCTTGTTGTGACGTGTCGCAAAGCCGACATTGTGAAGGCGTGTTCCTACGCGACATGTTGTCGGGCAACTTCGCTTCATTCAAGATTTTGCCCGTCAGATTCGCCAGTCAATTACGAATTGACACGAGTTAGCGTGTTCCTTATGTCACGTAGACACACGCCCTGAAGCATGTCGAATCGAAAGTCTGTCTACAAGCTGTCCTTGCAAGTGTGTGATTGGTTGTCGAGGGACTTGTGTCAGCCCCTGAGAGAACTTCGAAAAGAAAAAATAAAGGCGAAAGTGTTAAAATTATATAAGTTATAATTTAATATAGGCTTGGTAGGTTGTTACTGAACCTTTCTGTAGAGGGTACAATCCCCTCCTTGTACTGCTCTCTCTTCCTAATCCAACACTCTTCTTTCTCGTCACTTTTGCCTACTCCTAGATCTACTTGCCTCACGCCATTCCATGGCGTCCTTCCTTCCTTCCTAGCTAAGCTAGGTTCCTAAGTGTAGTTCCTATCCTAAGCTACTTTAAGAGAAAGGGCTGTGGAAAGAATGTCCCTAAAAATGGAAGACTTAGCCGATTTTCGTGGGTAGGTGGGGTGTGAGAGGGGTGCCTCTAGAGCAGGACTTCAACAAATTTTATGGGTTGCTGGGTGTGCGGGGGAACTGTCTCTGGCCGAAATTTATAGGTTGTTGGGTGTGTGAGAGGACTTGACTCTGGTGGCTGGGAACTTAGTCGAATTTTTTGGGTTCAGGGCAGGTAGGTGCAGTATGTCAGTCTCAGTCACATAGTCAGCCTTTTGTGGGTGTTGGGGGTGTGAGAGGGTTGTCTCTAGAACAGGACTTCAACAATTTTTACGCACTGCAGGTTGTGCTGGGGGGAGCTGTCTCTGGCTGCTAGAACTTAGCCAGATTTTATAGGTTGCGGGGTGGGGTGTGTGAAAGGACTTGACTCTGGCTGTTGGGGATTTGGACGAAATTTTTTGGGTGAGGGTAGATAGGTATGTCTGTCTCAGGGTCCGTACGCGCTGTGTTCTGAAAACTCAGTATCCACAAACTGCCTAGTCTGAGATTCTCAGGATTCAAAAACATATAACTCTGAAGGGTTCAGCATTCAGAAATTGGCAAGTCTGAAAAATCAGGATCGGCAAAAAAATAGGTCTGAAATTTCAGACAATCAGACTAAAATAGTCTGATAAAGTCAGCCCTGGAGGCTACCTTCTGCCACTTGGACTTTGAAATCAGAGCGAGCTAGGGCTTCCGAGTATCGCTTTCTTTCTTCGGCCTGGTCTGCTCTTACGTTTCAAACGTTATCCAGGATTGTAACCAAGCGAAAACAGACGACTTGTCAGTTGGTAACAAAATTATCCTTCAGTGAACGAGCTAGAACGGAACCTTACAATGCTCTTTGTGGGCTCCTCTCATGGTTCTGTTAGTGTATTTGCATCAGTTGTACTATGTTATTAAGGCATGTGAGGAATGAACACCTTGTTAGCGGATCGGTTCATGCTGAATACAGCTTCACCGAGAAACCCAAATCTGCAGGTTCAAGGCAAGTTAGCCCGTCTTCAGTGCCCAATTCCCCGAAACCCCTCAAACCCACCCCTCTTATCCCACGGTTGGGGGTTTTGCCCCTTATCTCTTGGCAACAGAGTCGTTAACGTTTTACCCTGAACCTCAGTAGAGTTGCCTGTGTTAGTTTTTTGCCTGTAAACGTTTTCTCCCCGCCATGGCAGCCGGTACTACGGGAACGAGTACCGAGAAACCTAATCGCGTGGATCGCGGGCAGGCGGAGAAGGCCGTGCAGTCGCTGGTCAAATGGATGACCGCTCGGCGAAAAGCCAAGTCGGAGCACGAGCTGTTCGCGGAGGACGACGACGAGCTGATTCACGTGGTAATCGGGCTCAAGTCTTCGCCAGACTTCGCCAAGACCAGCGGGTTTCGCCTGCCGATCCCCCACTCGCTGTACCCGCTAGACGCCGGCAAGGAAGTGTGCCTGATCGTCGGTGACGACGCTAAGGGCGGGCACAAGAAGTCGAAGGAGAAATTCCTGAAGCAGGTCAGTGCCTGTTGTAATAAAATTCGTGCAAAGCAGCACTACCGATGAGTTTTTTTTTACAGGAAAAGGGGTTTTCAGGGTGGTGGGGGTGAAGGGATAGAGCAATCGGGGTTCAGCGGGTGTTGGAGAGCAAGAACCTTTCGCCTGCCGATCCCTCGCTCGCTGTACCCGCCTGACGCGGGCAAGGAAGTGTGCCTGATCGTCGGCGACTACGCTAAGGGCGGGCACAAGAAATTCAAGGAGAAATTCCTGAAGCTGGTCAGTGCCTTGTGTAATAGGCAGCTTGGAGAGCGGCTTTACCGAAAATAGCTATAGAAGATCAATGGGTTTAGAGGGTGTTGGGGAAGAAGGTATATGGAAAGCGAGGCTCAACGAGTGACGGGTTTTTGCGGCGTGGAGGAACAGGCATGTTACGTAGGATTTCTTTCGCTTCTTTCGGGGAAACGGAGGAGGGGGGTTTACGGGAGAGACTGCCGATCGCCAGCTGGGAAGCCTTCTGCGCAGCTCTGAAGAGTTTGCGTGAATTGACATACACTTCAGCTGTCGCTTGATGTCAAGCGGATTTACCCACAATCCCCCCCTCCCCCTCCCCCTTTCCCTCCCCCTCCCTTCCCCCTCCCCCAATCCACTTTCTTCATCCTCTTCCCTTCACAGTTTAGTCCCCCGTCACCCAAACCCTTCCCACTACCCGCCGCCCAAACCACTTCAGTTCTCCGCTATACCGGATATGGCGGCTTGACCAGCTTGCTCTCTCCATTGTGCACTCTGCCCTAGCCGGCTGCGCGCCTGGACCTACTCCACCGCCTTCCCACAGAAGCGTTTCCCTCGTCCCCTCGTCCCCTCGTTCCTTTCCCGAACCCCCTCCGTGCCGTCCCTCTCTCAGCGTTCTTTCTCAGGAATCAACCAGGCGGTAGGCTTCGCAACTTCGGGAACCAAGTACGAGCAGTGCGAGGCCGGGCAGCTTAGCAGTGCCTATTCAACCTACTCCCCCCTTCGCCTGAGGACTCTCTGGGCTCTGCAGGAATCGCCAGCGTGATTGGTCTCAGGGCGCTGTTACCCTACTCTCCCACTTCCCTACCCCTTTTCAGGGTTTGGCAGGAATCCCCAAGGTGATTGGTCTCACCAAGCTGTGCAAGTACAAGCAGCATGAGGCCAAACGGCAGCTGTGGGCTCTATGTCATGCTCTTCCATCTCCCGTACTCTTCTGCCACTTTACCCCTCCCCAGGGATCAGCAGGAATTACGAAGGTGATCGGCCTGACAAAGTTGAAAACCAAGTACAAGCAGTACGAGGCCAAGCGCCAACTCCTGGGCTCTTACGACCTCTTCCTGGCCGACATCGACGTCATCCACCAGCTGCCCCCCCTCATTGGCACAAAATTCTTCAAGAAGAAGAAGCACCCGATCCCAGTGAAGCTTCGAGGAAAAGACTGGGGCAAGAGCGTGCGAGAGGCATGTGACAGCACGTATTTGTACGTGAGTGGGGGCCCGTCGATGAGTGTGCGGGCGGCGCGGTTCGGCATGAGTGAGGAGGAGATTGTGGCGAATGTGATGGCGGTGGTGGCGGGGGCGGTGGAGCATGTCCCGAAGAAATGGAAGAATGTGAGCTCGCTGCATATACGGGCCACGGATTCGCTTGCTCTGCCAATCTACATGGCGGAGGTTGATTTGCCGACGAAAATGGCGGTGAAGGTGGTTGGACGGAAAGGCAGGAAAGAGGGAGGGGAGGAGCAGGGAGGGGGGGATGAGGAGATCGGGGGAGGGAAGAGAAGAAGAGGGAGCACTGGGGGCAAGCCGAGAGATGTGAAGGCCAAGAAGCCGAAAGTGTTGAAAAGGGTGTTATCGACATGAAGAGCATGCCTTTTGTGCAGCCAACAATTCAACAGGGAATACATATGTTGAACACTGTTCGTAAGTGTGATTTTTATCAAATGTGACATCAATGAACTCATTGTTGGTTTTAAGGAGTGTCAAAGTCCCTTCGAAAGAATTGGGGATGCTTTGATGCTTTTATCAGAAAGAAAATGATAGCACTAGAATGTGTGTGTACAAGGATATATAGACTAGGGTGCTGTACCCTCTAAGGCACAATCCAGTATAGTCTTCAATAACAACCTACGTTACATTTGACACACCCCCTAGACTATATAGGGGCAGTGCCTAACAAGGGAAGAAGCAGCTCAGGACGGCACTACCAGTCCAGCCTCTGAGACAAGGGTCTAAAGACCAGTCAAAAGGAGTACAGACAAGGCAAGAGCAAGCCCAGGGCGGCACTACTAGTCCAGCCACTGGGAGAGGCCACAAGGCCAGTCTGGGTAAAATATAGAGATAAAGGACAGTACAAAGTCAAGGCCCTGGCAAGTGAGAGGCTACAGGAACGAGACCTAGCTGTACACAGTGCCGCTTATGCTCTTTATATCAAGAAGAAAACTGAACAAGCGTTGAATAGAGAGAGAGAACAAGGGTATATACCTAAGAGTGTTGTACCCTCTAAAAGGTGACCCTACACAGTCTATACAAATATGAGTTATACATATATTTGACACACCCCCTAGACTGCATAGGGTCAAATCCTGAACAAGCAGCTTAGGGCGGCACTACTAGTCGAGCCTCTGAGACAAGGGTCTAAAGGCCACTCAAAAGGAGTACAGGCAAGACAAGAACAATACCAGGGCGGCACTACTAGTCCAGCCACTGGGAGAGGACACAAGTCCAGTCTGGGTGTATATAGATATATATAGGACAGTACAAAGTCAAGGTCCTAGCAAGTGAGAGGCTACAGGAACTAGACCGAGCTGTACACAGTGCCGCTGGTGATCTTTAGGCGCAAGCGCCTTCGTAAAGATATCAGCTGTGTTGGCACCAGAGGCCAAGTGAACTACGCGGGCTTGGCGGCGCTGCTGTAGCTCGCGCAGGAGGAAGTACCGCAGCTGGATGTGCTTCGCTCTGCCCTCAAGTCGAGGCTCCTGACATAAGAGTATCATGGCCCTGTTGTCAGCGTACAGGACCGGGGCAGAGCTAGGCCGCTCACCTAAGTCAATGAGCAAGAAGGTCAGCCAACGGAGCTCCTGTGCCGCCATGGCACCAGCGTAGATCTCAGCCTCACAGCTCGACTGAGCAATAGACGACGAGCGAGTGGATCTCCAAGAGATAGCACCCGAACCAAGGCTAAAACAGTAGCCCTGCGATGACCTGAGCGTCTCAGAGTCGTCTGCCCAAGAAGCGTCTGTGTGCCCAGTGAGGACCACTGGCCTGCGTCCTCCTAACACTAACCCCATGCCTGATGTACTTGCTAGATATCGCAAAACCCTCTTAGCGGCCGACCAGTGCTGTGGTCGGTGTCTGCCAGTGGCCACAAAGCGAGTCAGGATGCTGAGAGGGTATGCGAGATCTGGGCGAGTGCAGGTCATCAGGTACATGAGGCAACCCACCAGCTCTGCGTAGGGGCCGCAGGGCTCTACTGGCTCCTCAGGAACAGGAGCGGAAAGCCCGTGGTCTACAGGTAGAGGTGTGGGTTGTGCAGAGGAGAACTGAAGACCGAACCTCTGAAGGACCTGACGCACCAAGTGTGACTGGGTCAGAGTGATGGTGCGTGCTGCTCTGCCCTGGAGATCTGCAGGCCAAGTTAGCGACACGGCTCTCCAAGGTCAGTGCAGGTGTGTCTCTTCAGCAGCTCAGTCTTCACAGAGGCCAGTGCGTCCCTGTCAGGAGTAGCGAAGACCAGGTCGTCTACGTAGACAAGGATGTAGAACGGAGTCTGGCCGGAACACACAAACAGTGAAGGGTCAGCAGAGGACGGAAAGAACTGCAGGTCTGGTAACGTGGCACGTAGCGTGTCGTGCCACTCGCGGGGAGCCTGACGCAGGCCGTAGACCGGCCGCCTGAGAAGCCACTGGGTCCCAGGGGGGAAGGTACCAGTGAAGCCGTGTGGTCGGCGCAGGTAGACCTGCTCGTGTAGGCTGCCCTGAAGAAAGGCAGTAGAGAAGTCGAGGGAGTGAAGCTCGTAGTCACGCTATGCTGCGTGTAGCAGCGCCCGAAGAGTGGTCATCTTCGGGGTCGGGGCGAAGGTCTGGAAGAAGTCAACCCCCACGCGCTGACTGAAACCTCTGGCCACGTAGCGCGCCTTGAAGACAGGCGGCTCTCCAGGGGGGCGCTTCACCTTGAAGAGCCACCGACCATCGACTACGTTCACCCCAGGTGGGGGAACTGCGTCGACGTAGGTGCCGGTGGACCATCTCCTACTCCATGGCAGCTATCCACTGAGAGGCCCAAGGTCCCGAGGTGGCCTCAGCGTAGGTGCGAGGGGTCGGGATGTCGAAGGCGTCTGGGTCACCCTCAGGGACTAACATCATGGAGCAGAGATGGGGAGCAGCCTCGGAAAGGAAAGCAAGCTCGTACTGCCTGTCCTCTAGGACGTCACTGCCAAGGGCAGGAGCACCCCCGACGGACGGAGGATGGGCAGGGTCAGAGACCAGAGCGGTAGCGTAGTCAAGGCGGCGGGTAGAGGCGAAGTCAGCGACAGCAACGACAAGCGCGTCAGGGCGCGAGACAGGAACAGAAGGGTCGGTAACAAGAGAGGCAAGGACCCGAGGGACAAGGGGACAAGCAGCACGGAGGTAGTCTGAGAACGGAGGAGGTGCAACAGCAAGGGACGAGGGAGGAGGGGACGGGAGGAGGGGAGGACGAGACAAGTGGGAACGGAGCAACATAGGGTGGGAGCGCAGGACAGGAGAGACGGGAGGGACGGCGAGCCCAAACGTGAGACGGAGGTGTAGGGTCAGGGGACAGCGGAGGAGACACAGGAGGGGAACGAGGAGGAAGACGGGCCGGAGACGAGTCTGGCGGCGGGAACACAAGACCGTAGACAGGAAGGTCAGCAGGCGGTGGGGGAGACACCGTCGCGCGGTCCGGGGAGGGAAGGCCGAGCAGGCGGAGAGCGGAGACCGGCGGCGACGGCTGCTGCGGCGGCGACGACGGCTGGGCCGGAACTCTCGGACCAGGAGAGGCAGAACGACCGTCGGCAGAACACTCAACAGCAACACCCCCAGAACCAACACCCCCAGAGCGAGAACCCCCTCCAACACCAGCGGCAGGACGAACACCCTCCTCCACACCAGCACCCCCAGGGGCCAAGAGCGGCAGCGGCAGTGGCGGCGACGACTGCGGCGGCGACGGCTGCGGCGGCGGCAACAGTGGCGGCGGCTGCGGCGGCGACGGCGGCGGCGGCTGCAGCGCGGTCGGCGACTGCGACAGTGGGGGCGGAGGCACCGGGGAAGGGGGACGCGGCAAGGACAGACCGGGGGTACCACCAGAGTCAGCAGACTCCTCAACGTGGACAACCGACGGGAGGGGAGTGATGTGAGAGACACCAAACGGGGCAGGACGAGGCGGGAGAGGGGCAGGGGCTACTGGGGGAGAGGGAGCAAGGAACAGGGGGGGGCAACTGGGAGACCTCGGTGAGGGAAGCGGCGGTAGAAGGAGACTAAGTCGTCAAAGGTGATGTCACGAGAGTGGAGGAAGTGGTGAGACGGCCGGTGATAGAAAAGCCAGTCAGACGAGTCCAGGGGGAAACCGAGGAAGACACAGGGGACAGTGCGGGCAGTGAGCTTGTCCGTGCCAGAGGCACGAACGTGAGCAAGGCAGCCCTAGACGTGGAATGCAGACGCGTCACCGGGGGACCCGGTCCAAAGGAGGGTCGGCGAAACTTGCGGCCGCTGGGAGCGTGGCCACAGGTTAAGCTGGTGAGCAGCGTAGCGAACAGCGAACGGCCACAGAAAATGGGGGGCATCGGCATGGATCATGGAGGTACGGGCGACCTCCATGACCAAGCCGATGCGGCGCGTAGCAACCCCATTCTGCTGGGGCGAGTCCGGCAAGGTGTACGACTGGGTGATGCCCTCCGCACGACAGAACTGTCCAAGCCGATCAGAGGCGAACTCGCCGCCACGGTCAGAGTGGAGACACAACACGGGGAGACCGCGGTGGAGACGCGCAGCCACAACCCACGGGAGAAGAACGTCGGGCACGTCGGCCTTCCGCTCCAAGGGAAACACCGTGGTGTAGCACGTGTAGTCGTCGACGAGCACAAGGAAGTAGCGCTCACCGCGCGGTCCGGGGACGGGGGCAGGGCCCCAAACGTCCAGGTGCAGGGTCTGAAGGGGGGCAGTAGCTGGGCGCAGCGAGGAGGAGTGTGGGGCACGGCGGAGCCGGCCCTCGACGCAAGGCGTGCACGGTGGCGCAGTCGAGGGAGGAAGGGCGGGGAGCGACGCAGGGAGACCTAAGACAAGTCCGTGCTGGGACATGTGACGCAAACGAGGGAGAGCAGGGTGACCTAAGCGGTGGTGCCAGAGAAGGGACGGGTGAGTGAGGGAACGACACGAGCAAGCTGCAGCAACCTGGGAGGACGCACCAACCGGAGGGGAAGCGGTGTCTAGGGTAAACAGACCGGACACCGGGTCCCGGGGGAATGTCGCAAGGGGGGAACCTGAGACAGCCTCAGAACAGACAGCGAACCGCTCGTGCCCAGGGAACGTGGTGGTGACGCCGAGGTCCTGGAGACAGCCGACACCAACCAGGTTCCTCGAGAATGAGGGAACGTGGAGGCCTGTAAGGGAGCCCGAGGGAACTGCTGGACAGGGAAGGGACGTAGAACTGCGAGCAACAACAGGACCCGCAGAGGGGTCAGCGAGAGAGACGACAGCTGGCGTAGCAAGCGATGTGAGCGCGGAACGATCGCGGAAGAAGCAGGCAGAAGCACCGGAGTCGAGAGTGAAGGACAGCGCCGTAGTGGCGGGGGCAGGGAACGGAGCCGGTGCAAAGACGAGGCTAGACAAACTAGGCAGTCCTACGCCTGACGCAGCAGGGGAGGCTAGGCTACACAACGGTGCAACACCTAAACTAGAGAACACAGGGTAATAAGATCCAGCAACACTAGCAGCGTCAGAATGCAAGGCATGCTAAG